CACACCTGAAGAAGGCTCCACCGCCGAAACGTTGTGTTTCTTTTCTTCTATTTTCAGGATGGAATAAACTTTTACTTGGTCCTTTGCAAGGTACAGGGCTGTAAGCAGAGTTTTGTCTCTTCCTTCAGTGTGGCGGATGGTGTTTCCCCGCAAACCGAACAGAGATCATTCATGAAACTGTTGTGTTGGACTTTTTTTCTTTTGGAACTTTGGTTTTGGGTTACAAAGATAAAGTAGTTTTGGGTTAGTAAAACAACATTTTATCATATAAAAAAGATAATATGTCAGTGTGTGTCCCTTGTAGATACTTTGTTTTTTTTGTGTACATTTTATTTCGATGGAAAATGATAGGTTATAGGTGTCAGAGAAATTAAACTAAAATTACTTAGCCTGTCTGTAATGTAATGAGCCTCCTGCAAGTCCCCACAAGAGAATAAGCCGATGCTCACCTGTAACTAAGTTAGGGTGTATTAGTAATTTATTGGAATACATTTCTTCACTCTAAAGTTATAATGAAAGTGTTGTATCAGAAGCATTCTGGCTATTATATGTTGTGTTTTATCACATACCCCAGCTTGCTCTCCACGAGACACACAGACAGGGAAAGAAGCTTGGGGTCAGAGCGCAGGGTCAGCCATATATACGGTGCCCCTGGAGCAGTTGGGGTTAAGGGCCTTGCTCATGGGCCTAATGGAGTATGATTCTTAAGGCAATCATGGGATACAAACCGGCAACCTTCCAGCCACAGGCACGGATCCTTAGACACAGAGTCACCACATGACCACGGGTTCGAGCCTCGGTCACTTCACTGTGTGAGGCCGGTCTTCTTGCCCTACCAACAACCCCCTCAGCTTTCACCTTCCAAGAAAAGAGTGGTACAGCACCTGTACTTCCTAAGACGGTTGAAGAAGGCTAAGATATGTCCCCAGATCCTCACTAACTTTTACAGATGCACTACAGAAAGCACACTGACAGGCTGCATCACAGTGTGGTATGGCAACTGCAGTGCTGCTGACAACAAAGCCCTACAGCGGGTGGTGAAAACTGCCCAGTCCATCACTGGGGTTACCCTCCCATCTATCCAGGACATTCAGGACAGATGGTGCTTGAGGAAAGCTCTAAGCATAATCAAAGACCCCACACACCCCAGCTACAGATTTTATGATCTGCTACCATCTGGAAAATGGTACCGGAGCATT